TGTGGCTAACACAGTAATACTTTTCATTAAGATTGTATAGGCTGCATAATACCAGGATGCATGAATCCTAACATTTCAAAACTCTGACAGGACAAACATTGGCTGAATTCACCCAGGAAAATGAGTGCACTGCTGACTCACGAGAACCTCAGTTATTAGCCAAAGTTATAAAAGCAAACTACAATTATAAAAGCTACAATCTCAACACATAATGCATTTTCCTATGAAGTCATTGAGATGTATGTGTTTAACATGTTTTTGATAAGGATTGGGAGAATATTCTGGCACTCAAAGATAGGTTCTTCTTACTTTCTATTCTTGTGCTTTTACCTCAGAATAACATCTTCGGCTAAAGTGCCGTCGGTGGGTGGACTTCTGTTTATCTTCACAATTCATAAATACGTTTTTCTGATTATTATAAAAATGGTAAGAACACCAGGTTTTGACTTAATTCAAAATATAAGCCAATTTTTTTCCCTTTAAAAAGTGTGTAGAATAAAATCTATAAAGGTAAATGTCCCTAGCTTTCTTTAAAATAACTTTCTCTGTATCTCTATTGAGGGACCCAAATGAGAGTCCAGGTAGAGAGGAAGAGGGAGAGTTACACATTCCTTTCATGTCTTTCTAAAAACTAAAACTCATTATTTAGCCAAGCCTCCGAGCTACTCAGGAGGCTGAGATCTGAGGATTATGGTTCAAAACCAGCCCAGGCAGAAAAGTCCATGACTCTCTGATCACTGATGAACCACAGAAAAGCCAGAAGTGAAGCTGTGGTTCAAGTGGCAGAGCACTAGCACTGAGCAAATACACTCAAGGACAGTGCCCAGGCCCTGAGTTCAAGCCACAGGAGCAGTATGCTTGTGTGTGCGCGTGCACACACACACACACACACACAACCTAAAGATCAGAACAGAAATTAGGAGGCATTCAACAAGCAATGCTGTCTACACTAATTCACAGCCCAATGAAGGGCAGAGGGTAGACCCGACACCAGGCAGGTGACAGGCTGGCAGCCCTTAGGAGAGGCATTGATTTTTTCCAACTACAGGGTATAGTACAAGCTGTGTATGGAGAGATGGTAATTACTGCTCAGAGAACAGAAGCTCAGTTCAGGGGCAGAAACTCTTCAACAAAGCAGACTTCTTAAAAAGTTGTAATAAATGGAGCTTATCTGCCCGGGACAGGAAGCTGCTCACATCCTGACCTCGGGGAGATCTGAATGGGAACTGCCCCTGAGGTCACGGGGCCACCTACTTACACAGCCTTGAACAAAGTCCTTGGGCTTGCCAACTTCTCGCCTGCAAAACCAGGAGGTGGATGCCCCTGCATGTTTTTAATGATTCGAAAGTTAACAGAAAAAATATTTAAGACAGTTTCCAAAAATCAGAACATGGTTGTTATTAAAAAGAACCACTAAAGCTGGGTGCCAGTGGCTTATGCCTGTGAATCCTAGTTACTCTAGAAGCTGAGATCTAAGGATCGCAGTTTGAAGCCAGCCTGGGCAAGAAAGGCCATGAGATTCTTATCTCCAGTTAACCTGGAAGTGGAGCTGTGGCTCCAAGTGGTAGAGCACTAGCCTTGAGCAAAAAGGCTCAGGTACAGCAACTAGACCCTGACTTCAAGCCCCAGGATGGAGGAGGGGGGGAGAAGCTGGGGCAACCGATGATGCCACTGATCACAAACAGTTGGACTCTGATTTCCTATATAACCAGCCAAGCACCAGTGGCTAATGCCCATATTTCTAGCTATTCAAGAGGCTAGTATCTGAGGATCAAGATTCAAAGCCAGACTGGACAAAAAAGTCTGTAAGATTCCATCTACAATTAACCAGCCCCCCCCCCAAAAAAAAGCTGAACTGGAAGAGTGGCTCAAGTGGTAGAGTGCTGTGAATAAAAACCCCCGAGCAAGAGTGCAAGGCATGAGTTCAAGCCCTGGTACCACCATTAGGAAAAAGAAAATGATAGGTCTGGGAATGTGGCTCAGTGGTAGAGTGCTTGCCTAGCATGCTTGAAGTCCTGGGTTCGATTCCTCAGTACCACATACACAGAAAAAGCTGGAAGTGACGCTGTGGCTCAAGTGGTAGAGTGCTAGCCTTGAGCAAAAGAAGTTCAAGGACAGTGCCCAGGCCCTGAGTTCAAACCCCAGAACTGGCAAATAATAGTAATAGTAGTAGTAGTCATAGTGGTAGTAAACCCAAACGCCAAAGGTGTGTTCAATGTCTAAACTCCAAATTCTGGCTAATAAAGTGCCTTTCTGCAGAGCATGTTACAGGAAATAAATTATGCAACTCGTTCCCAGAAATAAGTTCACATGTGTGTTGAAAAGGGTTTGGTGATTTATAAGGAATGTCTGAGCTTAGACTTGAATTGATGTCAACATCTCTGTGGGAACTCGTGTCTCCCTGGAGCATCCGCAGTGAGGGCCTTGAGCTACATGCAAGATCGACTCGCGGCTTCACCAAGGCCTCCTTGGAAGGCCCAGCTGCACTTTCATCACCACCGCCCTGGCTGGCATTTCTAATTCTTTTTCATATAGAAACAGGAGGATTGCTACACTGCAAGCCTGTGTTCTCCCAAATTCACATGCTGAAATTCTAGGGTCCTGTGCTGGGATACGGAGGCAGAGGCTGTGGGAGGGGTGGAGGCCCAGCTCTCATTAATGCACCACAGCCCTGTGAATGGGAACCGTGGGAAGACAGGCCCTGTCCATTCCAGACACTCAGCCTGCCAGTGCCTTGGTGTTGGACTGAGAGCCATGAACGTCTGCTGTTTAGAGACTGCCCTGTCTATCATATTCTGTTGTGGCAGTCTAAGCACGCCACGATTTTCCAATTTTTACATTGTAGATGGGCATTGGTAGCTCACATTTGTAATCGTACTTACTCAAGAGGCTGAGATCCAAGGATTATGGTTCAAAGCCAGCCAGGGCAGGAATGTCCCTGAGTCTCTTATATCCAATTAAACAGCAAAAGAAAAGCCAGAAGTGGAACTGTGACTTAGGTGGGAGAGTACCAACCTTGAGTGGAAAAAGCTGAAAGAGCCAAGGGACACTTGGCCCAGGTCTAAGTTCAAGAACGCGTGTGTGTGTGTGTGTGTGTGTGTGTGTATGTGTGTGTGTGTGTGTGTGTGTGCTCTCTTTCACACACACACACACCCCTTCAATAAGTGATAAAAATGACCACCTTCCTATAAAATGATAAAACCTCCCAGATATCACTTGTAATATATCTTCTCAAATAGTCTTTGGTATATTAAGACTATATTAGCAAGATACTCCAAGTGTATAGCAAAAAAAAAAAAAAAAAACCCAAAAACCTGGCACTGCAAATGAAGTTGTTCTTGCAGATTAAATCAGAACAACTTACACACCATAACAGTCATTTTATCTAAATAAAGCACATGGTCAATATCCAGGAATATTAACTCGGAAGGAAAAAAAATCTACACCACTAATTTTCTGTGGTAACACAATCATAGGAGTATATTGTTTATAAGAAGTGTAAAGCTATACAATCGACTGGAAAGGAATCTGACAATATGTATCAAGAACTTCAAAATATTTATATCCTCTCACATTAACATTTCTGCTACTATGAATCTGTCAAGACAGAAGTAACCGTCTTCTATTTAGAAAAAACCTGTCACACTTACAAGGCAATGTGTATTTGTAAGGAAACTTAAGTGTCTAAAAGTGGGGAGAAAAAAGATTAAGTACATTGTGGCATTCACATATTAGAATATTAATGTATAAAAAAGTTGAATATTCATAAAAGATGCATATATGGGTGATTAAGAAACATGACAGCAAGGGGCTGGGAAGGTGGCTCAGTGGTAGAGCGCTTGCCTTGCATGCCTGAGGCCCTGGGTTCGATTCCTCAGCACCACATAAGCAAAAAGAAAAAAAGCTGGAAGTGGTGCTGTGGCTCAAGTGGTAGAGCGCTAGCCTTGAGCTGAAGAGCTGAGGGACAGCGCCCAGGCACAGAGTTCGGGCCCCATGATCGAACATGATAGTGAACTTATGTGTACACACGCTTGCATCTAATTATAAAATAAAGACATACAGAAAGCAACTGAAAGGTAATGTGAATAGTTATTAATGATCTGGACATTATATATTGAGATTATGATCCTTTTTTGTCATCTTTTTTTAATCAACATCTTAATGGTAAAGATGAATATATTTTTTAAAATTTTATGTAACCTGGGCGCTGGTGGCCTATGCCTATAATCCTAGCTACTCGGGAGGTTGAGATCTGAGGATCACAGTTCAAAGGCAACCCAGGCAGGAATATCTGTGAGAATTTTATTAAAAAAAAAAAAAAAGCTGAAAATGGAGCTGTGGCTCAATTGGTAGAGCACTAGCACTGGGCAAAAGCAGCTCAGGCCAGGAGCAGGTGGCTCATGCCTGTAATCCTAGCTACTCAGGAGGCTGAGAGCTGAAGATCACAGTTCAAAGCCTGCCCGGGCAGGAACATCCATGAGACTCTTATCTCCAATTAACCACGAGAAAACTGGAAGTGGCTCTATGGCTCAAATGGTAGGGCACTAGCCTTGAGCTGAAGAGCTGCAGGATAGCACCCAGGCCCAGAGTTCAAGACCTATGACGGACAAAAAAAAAAAAAAAACAAAAACAAAACACAAAACCAAAAGCCAGCTCAGGGACAGAGCCAGGACCTGAGTTCAAGTCCTAAGACTGGCACCCATTTTTTTTAACTCATTAGCACCCACAGCAATATGTATGCATATATATATATATATATATATATATATATATATATAATAGATGTATATGATTTATATGACACACATACATACATATATATACACGGTAACTTAAAGCTTTCATGACGCAATAGAGCCATTATTTCAAACCTCATGAGTTTCCAACAATGCAACAGAGCGTTAGCACTATGCACAACCTAGACACACTCTTTCTAGAAAAAGCAAAAGAAGGTGCGAATGAGTGGAAGGGGAGTGTGTCGGGGTGGTAGAAGAAGAAACTTACATAATTGTCTCTTGCCGACCAGCCTGGATAAAGCTGCATGTGTAGCTGTCTTTCTTTCCGAGCTAATTCATAATATTTAGCCTGTTCTTCGCGAGAAAGGGCATGCCACTGAAACGAAAGGGTGGGGGGGGAGAACAAAAGTAAGCAAATCAGCAGCAGTCTGTTTCACAGATCCAACTTTGAAAAGTGCTGAAACTTCTATTGATTTCTCAATGGCAGGCAGCCAAGAAGCTGTTGCCAGGCTGGTGGCTGGAGTGAAATGCCAATGTGGGTTTCTCTATCCTGTCCTCAAGTATCACGAGACACATCGAAAGTCCATCAAAACACTCAAAAGATCACCCAACCCTTCCTCTTCACCGATGTAAATTAAAAAGAACATCTGATTCACTCTTTTCCATCCTTGGTAGCAAAGTCCAGTAACTAAGCCGGGTAAAGTAACTAAGCCCGGGAGCCATTTAGTAATGCAAAATACGACAGCTTCCAGATGGCTTTTGGGACAGACACAGCCGCTCCTCACATGGATGGACACTCTCCCACCGAGTCACAGGAAGAGTCTGGGACCTGAATCATATGCTCCTTTCTACCAACAAAGACATCAGATGTCAGTTTGTCCGTCTGTCTCCAGCCCCTTGCATTTACACACGCCCACTGTCTGTGGGAAAACACTGACAACATTGTACCTCACACTATGCACATCTGACTGCGGTTGCTTTAGTCTCCTTCCAATGGAAAGCAAAAGGCGGGATCCAAGTTTATTTTGCCATCTATAGAGTTCATGAGATCGCAGTTTCTAATATTGACAGGATAGCTAGTCATCCCCCTTCAAACTTCCCGTCTTCTTTATGTAACTGATGTGTGTGCATGTCATAAGTAACAAAGCTCCTTTGGGATTTTTGAGTGGTTTGCACGGCACCCGACTTTACAGGCTTTTGCGCACATGTGCATGCATGTGTGCACACATGCACACACACAGCCGGAGCCACCCAATCCTGCTCTCCCTCAGCTCCTGGCTGTGGAGCTTCCCACTCTGCAGCCTTTCATTCCTGGCTCTCCTGCATATTCAGGTAATCTTTCTATCCTGGTTTTCAAAGTATGACTTAGAAAAATCCAAAGGAAAGCAAGATTTGGGTCAGTTCAGTAAGGAGAGAAAAGAGGAAGGGAGAATGGTTCAGGAGCGCAAACAATTCTAAGAAGACTCGATGACTAAATCTTCATCTTCCAAGTAAGGCTCAGAAGCTTTCCAGGAAGAAACAATGTCCTGTTACTCAGTACCTACAAGGAAAGAAGCAGTGATAGAAAGAAGAGAAGACCCCAAGGTGCCTTCCCACAAGCCCTCCAGGGCAGAGACTGAGTGCGTGCCCACAAGCAGGGAGAAAAAAATCCACTGAAATCCTGTTGGTTTAGACAGGGCAGATGACTTCCTTTTACAATTGCTTCAGAAGCCCAGAGTATGAAGTTAAAAAGCAAGACACCACAGCAAGACCTGGTGTGAACTAAAGGCGAATCAGGCAATATGCTTTTGTTAATTAAATAAAATTAAAATACTTCATTAAAACACATTCAGAGAAGATACAAAAAGAAAAACACTGCAAAAAGGAAAGAAAAAGAAAGAAAAGGGAGGAAGGGAGGAAGGGAGGGAGGGAGGAAGGACAGAAAGAGGGGGAGGGGAGGGAGAAAGGAAGAGAGGGGGGGGGAGAGAGAGAGAGAGAGAGAGAGAGAGAATGAATGAATATGAATGAGCTAGGCACCACTGGCTCACGCCTATAATCCTAGCTACTCTGGAGGCCGAGATCTGAGATAACTGTTGGAAGTCATCCTGGGCAGGAAAGTCTATGAGACTCTAATCTCCAATAAACTACTCAGAAAAAGCCCGAAGTAGAGCCATGGCTCAAGTAGTAGAGCACTAGCTTTGAGCATAGAGAGGCTCAGGGACAGAGCACAGGCCCAGAGTTCAAGCCCCAGGACCAGGCAAAAAAAGAAAAAGAAAAGAAAGAAAGCTATATAGATAGCGATCCTTGTACTAATCAAATTAACAAAATGAGGCAGATGGAGCCAGCAAAGAAGGCAATGTCTGAGCAATGGTGGAAGCTGGGCAGCCAAACTGGACCAGACAGAACACAGATCAATGATATTCACACTACTAGGCTCTAGTGCTAACTTCAACTGGCAAGAGGGAGGAACACACCCACGTATAGAAGAGACAACGAAAGTCTTTCCCTTTTAAATGTGTCCATTCATTTGATTATCCCTTTATACCCATCACCTTATTGCTGTATTAGTATAACAGGTGACAGCTTTTCACCTTACTGAGGAAACATAGAGTTATAAATAAGAATTCACTCCCAAATAGAAGTGGACCAGAAGATCTCAGACTAACAAAACTGAGAGAGACACAGAGAAAAAAATCAGGACACAAACTAAAACCCTCACCTTGCATTTTTTTTAATTGCGTTAGTTCTTTAAATATTTCTAATGCACGAAACCTACCCACAAATTAAAGCTCATTTACCAGATCTAAACAATAGATAACACAATGATCCTAAAGTTTTTCAGTTAAAAACAAAAATAAAGACCTAGTAAAGACTAGAAAGGAGGGCTTTCCTTACAGGAATTTTAAAAACACAACTGATGAAAAACACCCATGGTTTTACTTAGGAGACAAAAATAATTGTAAGTTAACTCTTAAACAGTTTAACTTTCACTGTCATCATCTTGCCATGCTGTAGTAGGAAATACCCATTACAATTTAAGAACATTGGGCTGGGAAGGTGGCTCAGTGGTAAAGTGCTTGCCTTGCATGCATGAGGCCCTGGGTTCAATTCCTCAGCACCACATAAGCAGAAAAAAAATTAAGAACATAAATCATGTTAAAAGCATTCTTTACCATTGCGGGGGGAGGGGTGCACAATCATGAGCCTTTAACTCTGCGCTTGAGGTTTCTTGCTCAATGCTAGTGCTCTACCATTTTAAGCACAACTCCACTTTTGGTTTTCTGGTGGTTAATTGGAGATAAGCATCTCATGGACTTTTCTGTCTAGGCTGGCTTTGAACTGCAAACCTCAGATCTCAGCCTCTTAAGTACCTAGGATTACAGGCATGAGCCACCAGAGCTGTGCTATGGTAGTCTGACAGGAAGTCAATGGACTTCCTTTAACTAGCTAGAAAAGCTTGAAAACTAAGTTTATTTTCAATTAAAACATGCCATTTTATCATAAAACTGAAGAAAATGTTTCATTTGAATGAATTTCTAGTTAGCGATGCAGAAAAGACGAATTACAAAAAAAAAAAATCAAATGATTAAATATTCCAGGATGGATTTAAGATCCTCTTTCAAGAAAGTCTAATCATCCCAGTGTAAAAACTTCATGATTTTTAAAGTTAAAGCTTTAAAGAGCTAGGCAAAGATGGGCCAGCCAAAGGGGAGAGTGGAAAACCTGATCTTAATCAAACATCTCAGAGGCCTATAAATAGAAACAGGTGTTTAAATCAAAGACTGAGAGAGATCCCCAAAATGAGAACCATTCTCCAGGACTCATGCGTGGCTCGGGGGACTGTGGAGGGAGTTGAGAAAGTAGCGAAGGTTGAAAATGTGCGTTTTAACCATTAGGAAGCATACACCTCCCAATTATATCCTCATCGATCCTCTTGCTAGAGGATCAGGGGCCTTTTAACTTAAAAAAAAAAAAAAGAGCTATGCGTGTTACCCAAACTGAAATAAAAGCAGCAACCCTTCTTATCCTGTTTTAAATAGTCAGGGGGAAGAGCCAGCAGCCTGGAGGCTGTCAAGGTGGAGTTCTTCAGAGATGATAGGAATCATTCATCTGCTATGATCTGGCTTGGGAAATCATTGTAATTATCGTTATTAAGTGTTTAAGAATCCACAGGGAGATAGGGCATTGCACCCAGGATACCACTACACTATAATCTACGCCCTACTTCTGCTACCTTGGTGTCTTGCAGATTGGAAATAGCTGAATTTTGAAACCATTTTGAGACCAGCCAATGAAAATCGATAATGCCAAGCCTGCTTCATGCCTCTCACATAGGCCCCCAGTCTTCCTGAATGCTTTCTGTTATGAATGCTCAAATAGATTGTTTGGAACAAACATGATAATATGTGTGTGTGTGTGTGTGTGTGTGTGTGTGTATATATATATATATATATATATATACACACACACACACACATATATCATCAATAGCTAATATCTGCTCCTCTAGGCCTCTTAACCCACTGGGTGTTAAAATTCCAAATCATGAATTTCTTGAAAGGATGTAAAACACAGGGCTCATACATTTAAAAGCTACCACACTGCTGGGAACTGGTGGTTCACACCTGTAATCCTAGCTACTAGATCTGAAGATTGCAGTTCCAAACCAGCCTATGCAGGGAAGTTTGTGAGACTGTCATCTCCAATTCACCACCCAAAACCCAGAAATGGTGCTGTGATCAAGTGGTAGAGTACCACCTTTGAGGCAAAAAGCTAAAGGACAAAGCCCAGGCCCTGAGTTCAAACCATGGGGGAAGGGAGAGAGGAAAAGAAAGAAAAAAAAAAGTAAAAACTTACTAGGCTCTAGAACCTTCTTAAGTGCCAAGGCCAGTCTAAGCTGTTTACCCTGCATAGTATTACTGAATTCTCCAGGATGGCATTTCCCCTACCCTTGGCCCTCTCCCATTTTCCCAAGTCCCCGCTGTTTATACAAACCTGACAACCGACTCACACATAGAACCAAATTCAGGAAGACTTTAATAACGCTATCCCACGGTCACCATGAACATACCGTGTACCTCTCCATGACTTACCCTTCTGCCAAGGATCTGGTTGATAGCTGCACTTTCCTTTAGCGTACACTCAGCAACGACATTCGCTCTCATTTCTTTCATGTATAACATGAAAGCATTCAGAGGCTTCTTTATGTGAGGTCTTTTGGGCTCTTGCTCCTTTCTCTGTTCATGCTGAGGCTTCCTAAAAGGTGGGGGGTGGGGGTGGTTAGGGAAGGAAGAAGGAATAAGGAAGGGAAGGGGAGGCCATCAGCGTTGAAGAACAACTCTTGGCTCATGCGATGAGCAACACTGAACTGCAAACCACCAAACCACATGGCTTCTTATCTATTCAGTGGCTCTGACAATGGTGTATCTAGAGCTGGGGGAATACATAACAACAAAAATGGAAATGGATTTGGTAGTATGGTGAAATTCCATCCTGGGCCCTGGACGTTGGGAGTTGAGCTTCATGGTCAGCTCAAAAAAAAAAATAAAGCTGAATATATAGAACAGATGATCATTCAAGTTTTGGGACAAAGTAGCTTAACTTTTGGGAAGAGGTTAAGGAGACTTCTGACCCTCACACCAAAACATTTGCAAGGATTTTGGGGCTATCTTATGGTGCCCGCCACCTTCATCTCCTTGTCCACAAACCCTGGTTAAGAAGCATGATTCCTAGTTGGGCACTAGTAGCTCATGTCTATATAATCCTACCTATGCAGGAGGTTAAGATCAAAGCCAGCCCAAAGCCAAGAAAGTTTATGAAATTCTTCATATCTAGTTAACCCAAAAAACCAAAAGTAGAGCTGTAGCTCAAGGGGTAAAGTATCAATCTTAAGCAGTAAAAGCTAAATGAGAGTATTCAAGCTCTAAATTCAAGCTCCAGTACCAGCACACACAAATAATAATAATATTCCTAAATTCTTCCAACCAGGATATAAGTGCGTTTCCAGAAGGAAGTTCATTAAAAAATGCCAACCTAGGGGCTAGGAAGGTGGTTCAGTGGTAGAGCGCTTGCCTTGCATGCCTGAGGCCCTGGGTTCGATTCCTCAGCACCACATAAGCAAAAAGAAAAAAGCTGGAAGTGTCACTGTGGCTCAAGTGGTAGAGCACTAGCCTTGAGCTGAAGAGTTGAGGGACGGCACCCAGGCCCAAAGTTCAGGCCCCACGACTGGACCCAAAAAAAAAATATATTAAAAAATGCCAACCTATTTTACTCAGGGACTCATGGGTTCTCACCTAACACGCTGAGATCAATTAAAACCCAATGGGGGTTGTGGTAAAAAAAAAAACAGATCAAGACTGGGTTCTGAACATTCCTCCACTCAGGTGAGGTTTCTGTGAACCTCTCAAGTTCTGTGTTCCTTCCCAATCTTCAAATCAACTCACCGCAGTGAGAATCTAGCTGTTTGACATTCTCAGGGACAGAGCCTTCAGGGCAGAGCTGTGTGGAATTTCATAATGACAAGACAGGAGGAGGCTCCAATAGAGGGCAGAGGTGTAGCAGGGTTAATGCTCACTCATGGCGGAAGCCAAGGGCCTACTTACACGTGCATTAGGTCGCTGTCAGAGTGAGGGTGCTCCTGTTTGACCTGAGGTGTTACAATGGCTGGATGAGGGATGCCAGTTGTGTGGGGACCAGGAGGACCAGGGATCATGTGATGGGAAAACCTAAAGGACGGAAAGAGAAGAAAATAGTAATATACTCTTGCCTGTCATGTCCAACGTCAGGTGGAGTTTTGAAATAATCCACTCACTGCAACGGCTGAGTGAAAAATGTATTGTTATGCTCCCAAGTATTAACTGTAAATGACTGGCAGTAAATGACTGATAGTTTGTTTTTGTTTTTTGCTTTCTGCATTCAGGTGGAAGATATAATTTTTCCCTCTAAGTTTCTTAAAATTAACCATAGAATCTGACATTTGTCCATGGATGGTACCAGGCCCTAGGATAAATAAACAAGTGATCCTTAACTTTTTTTCCTTGCAATTTTCAAATAAAAATGTCAATCAGTGAAATTACTGAGAACATGGGCACCTTATTACCATTTCATCTTTTACATGGAAAACAAACTAAAATTTTGATAGCTCTGTATTGCAACCATCACCTGAAGAATTTTCTCATAGTGTTGACTTTTGTGTATCAGGATGGGGCAACTGAGGACAGGGACATCCAGGAATTTATTTTTTCAATCCCTTCCTCATTAAATAAAGTTTCCATGATCATTGTCTAAAATGATCTTCTATATAGAAATAAACTCTTGAGAGACTGAGTCTCGTGAAAAATGACTCACCCCTTGAGACACTATCTCCAACCAGCAAAATAGCTGGAATGGAGGTATGACCCAAGTGGTAGAGCACCAGCTGTGTGTGAATATACTATCACAAAAAATTTCTAAAGAAAAATAAGGGAAAGGATTTAACCAAAGAGGGGGATACGATTCTTTGCTTCAAAACTATGCAAAAGGTAAAAACCATGTCTGCTAAACTTTGGGTTTTTTTTTTCCAAGTATGCTTGTATTAAATTTTTAAAAAAATTCTTAAAATATCTATCACCACCCAACACAAAGGAGGGAAACTGCCATGCAAGAAAAATAAAACAAACAGTCCTTTCAACAGACTTGAGCTACATTCTGACATGCTTCAGGAATTTTTGCTTTTTGAAGCTGTCTTGAGGTAAACATTGAATTCCTTAAGAACAACATCGTCAGGTCATTCATCGGCAAAAGAAAGAAGGAATTCTGCTTAGACGTGGAATATTTCAAAGCCAAAGTTTTAAACATTAGGGAGAAATGGTTAAAAATAGATAGTTGCCAGGCCATCGTGCCTTATACCTATCATCCTAGCTACTCAGTTGGCTGAGACCTGAGGATCATGGTTCAAAGCCAGTCAGGGGAAGAAAAGTCCATGAAACTCTAATCTCCAGTGAACCACCAAAAATCTAGTAGTGAAACTTTGGCTGCCAGTTGTGGCTCAAGTAGTAGAGTGCCAGCTTTGAGTTAAAAAAAAAAAGCTTCCAGGTCCTGAGTTCAAACCCCAGTATCGGCACAGAGAGTAGACAAAATAATAATGCTTTGCTCAGTGTATGTCTGCAAAAATACAGGATATTGGTTATTTGTAAAAAAAAAAAAAAAAAAAAAAATCGAGCCATCAGATAGTTCTTACATTGTTAAGACAAAAAATTGTAAGAAAGAAAAAAAGAGGGGGACAAAAAAAGAAAGAAGAAAAAAAATCTGCTTTAGGGGGGAAAAGGTATTAATTCCATTCTTCCACTCCAGTCAGCTACATTTACAATTCATAGAACACATAACATATATCTGGATATATTTTCCAAGCTGAAATTCACCACCGAGACGGTGAATTTCATGCCCACATAAAAAGAGACAGATTCACAACCCATCAGGTTTGACTTCCGGCACAAGAAAGCTACCTCCCTGGAAACAGGCACGTTGGACACACAGATGATCCACAATGTGTGTACATCGAGCACAGGGCAGGCACAGAGCCCCCCTTCCCGTAAGCAGAAGCATCAGAGCAGCCTCCGAGGGTGGCACAGCAGGTCTTTAAGAGCTCCGCTTGCACTGAGGTGTCCACACAGGGCCTGAGTCGCACACTAGGACGCACACACTGCCTGTATGAACCAGGACCCTTCTCTGGGTCCAGGAAGAATCTGGACTCTCAGGACAGTCTCCAGCTCTGCCACATTCAGCGGCTATGTCTCTCCCTCAGAGGAAGCAAATTTCAGAATTCAGACCCAACTCTAGTCCCCCCACCCCATACCCCCTTCTCGCTTAATCCACCTGCTTAGCATATTTGGAATCGATTAAGCTCTTCCTAATGTGGTTCACTCTCAGGACATTTTCATCCCAGAGCCAGGTGGCCAGTGATTTCCATACAAGGTACTCTATTCCAATATGGCGGAGCCGGCTGGGCTCCTATCCAGGAATCGCCATGACACCTAGTGTGAGAGCCAGGCACACTGCACAGAGAGAGACACACACACACATACACGCGCGCGTGGCTGGGTTATACACCCTCTTAGCCAGCTGGCTGGGAGGCAAGCAGGGCGCACGAGATGCAAGCACAAAAAGAGCGACTCGGCCTCCACCTCCACCTACCTGGACATGGAAGTGTCGACTGACAGTGAGGATGGGTAGGGTTGCCTGAATCCACCCGTGATGGGATATACAGGCTGACCTTGCCTGAGGTCACAGAAGAGAGGAACCCATCAATGATAAAACACGAGTTACCAACTAGCAGTAAGAGTCTGGCGACGGGAGGAGGGGAGTATAGGACACACCACAGCCATTTCTGCACACATGTACCTCTTCCCTTCCTCACCCCCTCCAATCCCACCGAAGCCCCCATTTGCATGAAGAAAAATCACCCTCAACTTAACTCTGAAAGCCCATCAGGCCATCAATTAGTTGTCTTTCACTCTTCTTCTATTGCAGCCGTGTTCATGCCTTGCACTTAAAAATGGCTTAGGGAGCTGGGCGCTGGTAGCTCATGCCTGTAATCCTTAGCTACTTAGGTGGCTTGCGGTTTGAAGCCAGCCCGGGCAGCAAAGTCCATGAGAGAGTCTTATCTCCAATCAACTACTCAAAAAGCTGGAAATAAGGCTGTGGCTCAAGTGGTAGAGCACTTGCCTCGAACAAAAGCAGCTCGAGGTCAGTGCCCATGCCCAGAGTTCGAGGCCCAGGACTGAGCTCAGTAATGGTGAAGCAGCTTAGTGAATTCTTTATCTGAATCTTTGGTAATTTCAGAGAAGGGAAGAAAGGAGGACATCACTTCAGAGCCAACTACCACTGGCTCCTGCTGCTACATCCTAGCTATTAGCAGGCTGAGACTTGAGGATCATGGTTCAAAGCCAGCCTGGCTATAGGAAAGTCTGTGAGGCAATTAGCTCCACTTAACCACCAAAAGCCAGAAATGGAGTTATGGTGCTCCAATGGTAGAGCACCCACCTTGAGCCAAAAGGCTAATGGACAACACCTTAGCACTGAATTCAACCCCCAGGATTGGCACACACACCAAAAAAGCTTATACTTATATAAACATGAATAAACATTTCAGAAACACTGTACACCCCTCCCTCACTGTATATATGTATTAGTCAGGACATAAAAGACCAATGCATGAGAACTGTTTCTCTGCAACCTGAGCAATGCATCTTTCCCTTGTTCTTGCTCTAGCTCCATTTTCATCCATATTCTTTATTTCCAGCCACCAGTGATGCAATTTGGTACTGGATTGTTCCTCCCCAGTAGCTAAGTTCCCACAGAATAATGGATCTAGGTTTGAACGTGTGCAGATAATTAAATCCAGTGAGTGGCGGTGCGATTCAAGTGCTAAAGTGAGAAAAAGTGAGAGAGCCAGGGTGAGAATAAATCAGCTGGCATTCCCATAGCAGAATGGCCCCTACTTCCTGAAGAGAGCTGATGTCAAAAGTTCAGGTACAGCTGGGCCAGGATATGTCGGCTATGGGGACAGTGAGCCAAATCGAGAAAGAAGAGAAAGGTTCACTCAAGTGGCAGCTCTGTTTCCAGGAAGGAGAAATGAGGAGGGGAAAATGGAGACAGTGTAGAATCGGACTAAGGAAAGCTGCGTGCTGATGATCAAATGATGGAGAAGGCTACATTAGATGTTAATTGTTCTTTCTTCCCATACGTATTTTCTGTGCCTTTATAATTTAAAAACCTTCACCACAAAATAAAGAGTATTAGTATTTGGATTTCAAAGGCAAGACAAGTCTCTCAAACCAGGCACCAGTGGCCTGTAATCCTAGCTACCCAGGAGGCTGAGATCCGAGGATCATAGTTTGAAATCAGCCTGAGCAGTAAAGCCCTTGAGACTCTTATTTCCGATTAGCCACCAAAAAGCCAGAATTGAAGCTGTGGCTCAAACGGTAGAACACCAGCCTTGAGGAAAAAAAACAATGGGGCAGTGCCTAGGCCTTGAGTTCAAGCCCCAGTGCTGGCATAAAACAACAACAACAACAAAAACCAACCTCAAATCAGTGCTTTGCATCTCTGAGATGGAACTGAATGCTTATTAACCTTCAAAAGAAACTTGTATTTTATTGGATTTCTCTCCAATTCCATGCCATTTTGCTTTGCAAAAGGAAATAGTCCATGTGTCTAAATCTATGTTTCAAAAGTCTTAAGTTGGGCATTTAAAAAAAAAGGGGGGGAAGAAGAAAAAGAAAAGCTACAAGAAAAAAAAAAAAGCCACTCTGAGCTCTAACTTTGTACAGGCATACCAAGTGCCCAAAGCCACAAATTGAATCCATAAAACTATAAGCTTCAAAGCAAATGCTACACAGTCATTTTCTACACATATTAGTGAACGGATTCAATCCATTTCAAAGTCTGTATGTTTTTTTTTTAATCTTTTAAATTGAAATGAAATAAAGTTAGCACCTTGCTTGTTGATGTGAACTTTTTCTCCCCTCCACAAGTGTCATCATTCCCAATGCTCATTTCCCACAAAGGGAAAAGGAAAGGCCATATATTCACACGCCTGGCTGGAGGGTACAGAAGGGTCTTACCAACCAAGAGGTGGGGTGATTTGTCCTACCCCACCCGGAGACAGAGGGTAAAAGGTGGGAATATCAGGAGCTGGAGGGTGTCTGGTCATGCCTGTTAAAAAAGAACAAATAGGTAATTTTTCAGAGCCACAGGACATTCAATTAGCAGAACAACAGACAAGCAATATAACGTGTGGGGTCCTTCAGACTTATGATCCAGAAACAATTTTTATTCATTAGATCCAATAAAAAGATACCAAGTGTGTGAGCTTTTCTGAGGATTTCAACATTTGGGGCTTCCAGTAATGGATCTTGAGACATTCTTGTAGGAATAAACACGCTGCCAAGGAAATAGTCAGAGAAAGAAGAATTTAAGTGACTTATTTTGCTGATTTTAAGTGACTTCTTATTTCGCTGTGGTTAATAGTATGGGGGATGGGTGTTTGGGACAGAATGAAAAATGATGCCCTTCATCAACAATGGGCCTCACGCCCAGGACTCCAGGGTTAGGTACATTGCTGGTTCCCTGTTGGAGACGTAGATCTGGGGAATGTGATACCCCTGAGGGTTGCAGATTAATTAGGAATCATCTCAGGCCTCACAGTGGTCACACTTGATAAGATTCACTTAGTCTCTGCCTGCCTCTGCAGCTCTGACTAAGCTCTTCATCAAGCCCAGTCCTCCGGGCCCCAAGGTCACACTGTTCTGGATTAGCTGTGTTGCACAGGAAAGGAGAGTGTGCCCCAATTGTTTCCCAAGCTCACACTCCTGGAGAGTATCCTGCCTCCAATGGTGGAAACTAAACCACCCAATCCTCATCCCAAAAGACATTTTTACCTTACATACGAGGGAAAAGGGAAAAAGGAGAAGACAAATGTAAGAAATATAAAATAAACAAGCAAGACTGAATGCATCTGGGGAGGAAGGGACTCTGAAGGGGGGGGGGGGAATGGTTGCTTCATACAGCTAGGCATGGAGGTAGAGAGCCATTTCCATACCCAGCGCAGGTGCGCATTCTGAAGCATAACACTGTGGCTGTGAATTCACTGGCTTCTGCGTGGAACAGATCCGTTCCCCATACTGATCCATATCACCAACCCCGCTGTATGGGCTTACAGGTACACAGTGTGGCTTAGCTCATAATAGAGGCAGAACATGAACCCAAGATTCTATGAGCAAAGATTTCTCAGAAGTTTGTGCCTTCCCACCTACTGTGTCTCCAACACCCATTCAGCACAGCTTTAGAGATTGAGAAACTTCTAAGTCATTGCTATAAATGTAGGTCATGCAGGGCACTGGTGGCTCACACCTGTAATCCTAACCGCGATCTGAGGATGGAGGTTCAAAGCCAGCCTGAGCAGGGAAGTCCCTAAAGACTCTTAGCTCCACTGAACTACAAAAAAAAAAACCTGAAGTGGAGGTATGGCCTTGAGCACAGAAGCTCAGAGACAGCGCCCAGGCCCTGAGTTGAAATCCTATGACTAGCAAAATTTTAAAAAGGAGGAAAGAGAGGTAGAATCGGATGTAACTATTAATAGGGAAACAATCTGCATTTATTTTTCCACAAACAAGAATGGCTTTCAAAACCAATTTACACTTTCTGAATAGTTCTGCCTAGAGTTAAAGTATTGGATGTGCTATTCTTCTCCTCTACCCATCCTTACTTTTTTTTGTTGTTGTTTTCTGAGCAAAACTGACTAGCTTACTAGGAATACTGAATCAGTACCTTTGGCTTCAGAGACCCCACCCAAAAGATACACCCCCCAAAAAGAAGGCAGCAGAAAGAAAACAAAGCAAATAAAGTGGGGTTTTTTGGGGGGGGAGCAAAGAAAGTTTACAAATGGATTTACATTAACTCAGTATCATGTAAATGAGCGAGTGCTCTTAAACCAAAAAGTCTGCCTATCTCCAGAGGTGGCTAAAACTCGGGACAAATGTATAATTAAAAACAGGATCTTTATATTAAAACAAGCACAGGTATTGTCTGTGCAAAAGTCACAAGTTTTCTCTAAAAAAAAAAATCAAACAAACAAGTCAGTCTTAAGAAATGACTAGCAAGCCTTGTACTGGCAGCTCACACCTATAATCTTAGCTACTCAGGAGGCTGAGCTCTGAGGATCATGGATCAAACAGGCAGGAAAGTGCATGAGACTGTTATCTCCAATTAACCCTTTGAAACCAAAAATGGAGTTGCTGTGGCTCAAAGTAGTAGAGTGCTAGCCTTGAGCAAAAAATAAAAGCTCAGAGACAACGCCTAGGCTCCAAGATCAACAAAAAAGAAAAAGAAAATTTAAAAAGGAAGGAAGAAGGAGGAAGGAAGGAAGGAAGGAAGGAAGGAAGGAAGGAAGGAAGGAAGGAAGGAAGGAAGGAATTTCAGGCCCTGCCACTGGTCTCTTCTTGGTAGTTCTGTAGATTTTGTTTAAAAAAGCAAACAAAAGAAGTTTAAAATGCAAGGATATAAAATATAAGCAGGCAAAACTCTCTCAGGAGAGCAGTAAGAGATGAAAACAGAAAACACGAATGTATTTACTAGCCAACAAACGTGCATGTTTTTAAAAAGTGAATTGTCCTAGAATTCTTGGGAGGAAAAACAGCTGAACCATGATTTGTCATCCTTTAATGAATACTTCAAAGTGCTTCAAAAACAAGACCTAGGACACAGAAAGCACTATTTAATTGTAAAGTAAATACTGTAAAAACTAAATAAAATACACTGCTGAGTTGTTTTTTTTTTGCTAGTTGCTCGAGACTTTTAAATCTATACTTGTCATCTGCATCTTTATGGTTCCCAGATGTATATTCCAGCTCAGACCCTGGGCTAAGGACTGTACCGTACACTAAATTGCCTGTGTCGTGTCTCGCCTGCAGATACCGAATAAAAACAGTTAAACACACTGTGACTAAAATAACACTTGGTGTCTCGGTGTATAGAGAGGGGCCCGGACAGGTAGTCAAACCCAGAGCTGCCACTTACTAGGCCAAGCCACACCCTCAGCCTCAACATCCTATTACTGATCTCACTTTCATACTCAGCCTGCTTCCTAAGACCTGCCCCACCATCATTTCCTGTCTCACCACTTGTACTCAGAGCCTGGGCACTGTCCCTGAGCTGCTTTTGCTCAAGTCTAGCACTCTACCACTTGAGCCACAGTGTTACTTCTGCCCTTTTCTGTGTATGTGGTATAGGGCTTTATGCACACTAGGCAAGCCCCCTCTACCACTAAGCCACATTCGCAGCCCTGAAGGTTCTTATTCTTGACAAACAAAACAAGGTGGAGGAAAGCCTGGAAGGATGAAAACAGGCCAATCTAGAAGCATCTATGCGAAGTGACTGGTGTCTCTCTATATATCCATCTGGCTATCTATTGTGATGGTATGCAGGGTCTGAGTGCTAGCTCAGCTTTCTCCACTAAAGGGAGCCTCTCTATCACTTGAGCCACAGCTCCACTTCCTACTTTTTGGTGACTAACTGGAGATAACGCCAACATTTAGACAGGGTGTGATCCATTCAGTCCCTGCATGACAAATCCCTTTGGCCCTGGTTCCAGGCCATCTCCACCTGTTAAGTCACTTACTAGGTATCTAGAGCATCTTACCGAGTGATCTACTGTCTGTGTTGTACAGATACTGTCTACAAATAACTCTTTTGTTGTTTTTTTTAAAAAGATCCTAAACATAAGAGTTGGTTATTTGAATAAGCCAGAGTAAAGCCATAGAGTATGTTTTTATGTCAAATAGTGAAAGTTCTAGAGCAATAAGAATATGTGTATGTGTATATATATATAGTTCCAGGATAAAAATACATCTCTGATCTGTGAAATTCTGAAGAAGGAAAATATAAGTTGTGTTAGTTTTGCTGTCTCACCTCACACTGCCAAAAGTCATAGCCATGATTTGTACCAAGTACTTAGTTACGGTGGGGAAAAAAAAAAAAAGAGTCTGTTTGAAGGTTCATCACTCTGCCTTGTTTTAGGCCATCTAATGGGGGACTAGGAATGTATCCCCCAAGGATAGGGTCAGAAGAGGACTGTTCATGGCTAGATAAACAAGTGCAGATAAATGAATTAGTAGTCCATTTGTACAACACCTTAGTGTATTTTGTGGATTTACAGAGCTGTCACTTGGAAAAGGACCCTCACCTGGCTCTTCTGCTTTTAATCCTGAGAAATTAAAACAACCAATGACTGGGTCTTATGGGTTTCTAAAGAACTAAGCAATGAAATGCGAGAACTGGCTCCTTGATTAGAAGCAGCCTCTCACCTTGTTTGGAGCTGACATCTGATGGGAGATGTGATGGGTGGGATCCAGGAGAAAAGTGCTCGTCGCTGTAGGTGATGAGGGGGGTGAGGGGGTGGACGGCGTGGGAGGGCTGCACCACGGGCACTTTGTTTGACTGTGAAGTAAGCACAGGGTCCACCATTAGTACAGGTACCTGACTCTCGTCTCCTCTCCCCAGATGAAACCAAGCAGCAGCACAGATTCTTCTCCAGACTTAAGACAACCAAAGCCATCTCACAGACCCTTCTCAGCATTTTCCCATAGGAAATAGCCTTGCCTATTCTGTTATCATCCAGTGGCCTGGATGAAATTGTCCTAAGAACAAATAAATGACTGAATGTTGCCAATTTGAAGGATCAAGGTGAAGGAACTCAGTAAGTATAGATTCATAATTTATAAAATCTTACTTCTATAGCTGTACATCTGGTAAGAACCACAATACATACTTTTACTATTATTTTTGCATCCTGTAGCTTTGTTAAACTGATTGCTCATCAGATTTTTATATCTACTAAGTCCATCTTTTGCTCCAGAAGGACTAGCTAGACAAGGGGAAATTTCCACTCTTATTTGGGGAGGGGAGCAAAGGGAGGAGGCCCTGGGGCCTGGGTGCTGTCCCTGAGCTCTTCAGCTCAAGACAAGCACTCTACCACTTGAACCACAGCACTACTTCCTGTTTTCTGGAGGTTTATTGGAGATAAGAGTCTCACAAACTTTCCTGCCCCAGGATTACAGGGAGGAGCACCTAGCTAAAATTTCCACTCTTGAGTGTGACTGCATAACAGAAACAAACAAACAAACAAACATGGCTTGAAAGAATACGTTGTTTACATTTTATATTTTGGCACACTTCATCTAAACACTGGTTTACACACCAATTTTCTTATTTAACTTGGAAATGAAAAACTATGTAACTCAGAGTACTTGGACTTCATCAATTTGAAATCTGTGATCATTTTGATTACACGCAAAGTTGAAGGGACCCCATCTCCAAGAAAATTCTGACCAAGTAAATCAGTTATGGGGCTGGGAAGTAGCCCAGGGGCAATTGCCAGGCAAATACAACATCCTGAATTCAATACTCCCTGCCCCAAATACAGTAAATCAGTCAGGTAAAAAAGGGGGATCATTTTAAAGGAACTCTAGCTAATAAAAATATATTGTGCTTTTCTGTTGTTTATTTGAGACAGGGTCTTGCCAGGTAGCCCCAAGCTAGCCTCAAAGTCATGGTTCTTCTGCCTCTGCTGCTGAAGTGCTGGTATTACAAGCATGATGTGGCACCACACCTGGCCCCATTATACTCTATCCTTGAAAAATATGAAGAGTGCATATTAAGTGTTCTCACCACAAAATAATTCTGTGCAGTTAAGACATGCATTCATTCATTAGATCTGACCAGTCCATGGCATATAGATACTTCAAGACATGTTAGGATACAATAAATGCATGCAGTTATGTTTGTCAATGAAAAAAAAAAAGATAAAGAAGAACACAAAAAGAAATTCCACTCTTCCTCCAAAGGAAAGGAACTCCACAAAATAACATACATGTAAAGGATGATTTTAAACCCATCTACTACTTGGGGAGCTCTCCACTTAGAAACACCATAGCCATGAGGAGCGTGGATTTTAGGAGAACAGGATGTAATGAACTCCCAAGTTCAGGTATGTCTTCCCTGCAATTAGTTTGAAAATTAGGGCGATTTTACAGTCCTAAGATACATGTGATACAGCTTTCTCCAGAAACCAATATCCACAATTGAAAAACAAATTATGACTGAAACATGAATTGCTAAAAATCCACGCCTGCGTCCAGACGGCTGAGTGATCCCCACCATACCCTTGGTGTATGGGGGTGACACCCAGGGACACGGTCATTTTACATCGGATGATTTTCCCCAATTACGTGTGGAAGCATGGGGCTCTAATGGCAGAGAAGAAGACATGCTAGTAAATTCCAATTCTCCTTGTACTCTATCATGGCACTCCCCAGCATAGAGAAACGTATGCGTATATGGAGGTGGGGGGCAGTGGAGATAAAAGGTGGAACTCACATTTTTGGAGAATGTTGTAATTTCTACATGAGATTTTTCTCTACTTTATAATTACCAGCTCATCTCTAATGGCAAAACTTGCATGGCTCATATAGCCCTTGGCATGTATTAAATAGAGCACCATTATCAAAGCCACACAATTTTTTCCCCTACATACCTCAGTACAAACATCCATGCATATAAATGTGTAAAAGGTTACCAAAGAAAAAAATCTTTTAATGCTTTTCAAGTGTTAATGATGTGGTTAGACAAATATATGAAATGAGCCTCTTAAACACAAGGAATTTAGAATGCTGGCGGTTGCGTAAAAGGATATTATTATAAATCCCTTTTAAAATGGTTATAAAGAGGTGACATTGATCAAGATGCATTTTGCTCATAAACTGCTATGTGCAACCAAAACCTCTTTGCACAGTTAAAGATAATAAAAGTATAAAATGGGACAATAAAAACATTAAATATAAAATGAATAGAACATAGAAAAAATAATATAAATTATCCAGGAAATGGAAATGAGGGTTTTTTTCTTTGTCACTGTTATCCTTTCCTTTTTGTCTTGTTTGTTCATTTATCTGTCTTTGGGAGGGAAGAGAAGGCACAAAAATGGAGGGACAAAGGGTAAACAAATGCAGCAGTGATACTTACTGGACACTATGTGGAAAATGAAGTACACAACTTATGGGTGGGGACTGAGGAAAACACTGGGAGAGTAGGAGATAAGAGGTGTAACCATTGTCCAAAAAGAAATGTACTCATTACTCAACTTATATAAATGCAACCCCTCTGTATCACCTCTACAATAACACAAAAATTTTTGAAATTAAAATTATGTAAAATAGAAAAAATCAACACCTGAATGCTGAAAATATACTTCAACTGCATCTTAGAATTTCTTTGACTTTCATTGTCAAAGTCTCAAAGAAGTATAATTGTCAAATGATCTACAAAGATATTTTTTGCAGAACCTTCTGATAATACACATATGTACTTATGTATTTACACACATATATGTACATATGTATTCACTCACACACACACACACACACACACACACACACACACACACACTTCTTTGCATGCCTTTCTTGTTTCCCGAGCACGCCTAAAGGAACGTACATTACCATCTCCCTAATGTCTGACCTCTCCTTCCAGCCATAGAGCTCAGAATCTGGTGCCTTGAAATCTTTTTTTTTTTTCTTTGCTAAATTATGCTATCCTTGCTCTCCTCTTAATTTTACGGTTTTCAACACAGATTTGCTTTCCTGTGGGAAGAAGATAAGGAGCTGTGGATTTTAATTTAAGCCCTGGCCTTGTCTTATATTTTGCAAGACGGATCGTGAAAACGGTACTACGAGGTGTGTTAAAGCCAACAAGGATTACGTCCATTTTCCTAGCCAAATAATAAAAAGCAATACGAAATCTTCAATAGTAAGTGGGAGCAGAATTCTAAGGGTTATATTTCGCCTCCTGCCAACCGTCTCTTCCAAGTAAGAAGGACAAAGCGAAACGGATTCCAGCCTCCACTGCAGATACATGGCACGGTGACACTACGGCCAAGTGTCCCCAGGCTTGAATTCTGCCTCGGATTTCAAAAGTTACTTATGCCTTGAGGTTACATGCAAACACAAGGCTGGGACTCTGGCTTAGGCGGTTTGGTTAGAGATACAGAAGAAATAGTCAATGCTCTTCTTTGAATCTCAGAATAACCATGTGGTATGTTTTCAGGTGGAGAAATAAATGAAGGGAAGAATGGCTACCATTAACCAAGTAAGTCTCGAAAGACACATTTATGAAACATTACCTCTACAGTTACAAATGTGTATATGTACATAGGTGTATATGTACATATAGGTGCATATGTGTATGTGTGCATGTGTGTATATGCACGCAGTTACATGTGCATGACCATAGCCATCTATGCGTAAATATGCACACGTGTATATTTATTAAACATCTAACATTTTCCAAGCACTATTCTAACACTGATCCAATGCAGACAAGGTACCTGATCTCCCGCAGCTCATTTTCTAAAGGTTTGCAAGTGGAGACAGGCACCACAATTTTTGTTGTTGTTGTTTACTTGGTCAACCCTGGGGGTTAAACTCACAAGGCTTGGGCACTGTCCTTTAGCTTTTTGCTCAAGGCTAGCACTCTACCACTGTGAGCCACAGTTTCATTTCTGTATTTCAGGTGGTTAACTGGAAATAAGCATCTCCCAGACTTTCCTGCTTGGGCTGGCTTCGAACCAAGATCCTCAGATCTCAGCTTCCTCATTTGCTATGATTACAGATGTGAACCACCAGTGCCAGGCTAACGATGTGTTTTTGAAATTAAAAAGCAAAAAAGCAAAATTTGAAAAGAAAGCACCAATTACTATGACAGAAATGGGCCAGGTAATGTGCAGTGTGGGTGTCATTCTATGCCTAAGTATCATGGCAAAGCTACAGAAACCAGATGCACATTTCAAGCTCCAGCTCCTTGTTTTACAAGACAGGAAGAGGCTTGAGAGACAGATCAGAACGAAGAAGCTGCTCAAGCCAGGACTATGGCAGCACCCCAAATCCCACAACCCCATTCTCCTAAGGCATAGTGCTATGAGTACAATATGCATGGAGACCCTCTATGGCCTGATACACCAACATCAGGTAGTGGAGAAGTTTGTCCTTTGTTTCTGACCCTATGATGGGTACTATACACACAGGATCTCACTTAATACAACCCAAGATTCCTGATATCTACTCAGATGCTTTGCAGGGAAGGAGCAGGGGAAAATCACTGATTCTGCTTCATTGAGATATGTTTTACTTTCCAGTAAAAACTGCTAGGTGTCCCCAATGAGTCCTTAGTTTTATTATCCAGGGTAAGAGAATGCATAATGACTCCATCTCTATCGGACACACCAAGCAACCTGACCTTATCCCCAATTCTCTATTCCTCCTCCAAGACCCTTTAGTTACTTGCTTAAATTCAGTTGGCAGCATGGCTAAGTAAGGCTCAAGACTGAAATGTGTTCAGATTCTAATTGCAGATGCTTTCAGCTTGGCCAGGTAAGCAAAGGAAAA